AAAGTGACAGGTGACTGTGGTCCCAAGATGGCTCTTGATCATAGCTTATAGCTCTGGAGAGTCACACAAATATATCTGTGCATGTATCTAATATGTGGCTGTTAAAAAGAAACTTGATCTACTAATCATCGCATACAATATTAGGTTGCATACGTCTTGGTCTGCTCGAGCTGCCATAACAAAATACCATAGAATGGGTGGCTTAAACAACAAAAATAAATTTATTACAGTTTTGGAGGCTGGAAGTTCAAGATCAGGGGTGCCAGCATGGTCAGGTTCTCTTTCTATCTTGCAAAACGGCTTCCTTCTTACTATGTCCTCACATGGTAGAGAAAGGAAAAGCTCTCTGGGGTCTCTTCTTATAAGTGCCCTAATCCTATTACAAGGGCACCACACTCATGACCTCATCTAGCCCTCACTACCTCTCAAAGGCCTTATTTCTAAATATCATCACTCAGAATTTAGGGCTTCAATATATGAATTTGGGGAGAAGGACACATTCAGTTCATAACAGTATGTGTGGGTATGTCTTCTAAATGGACCTGTTTTATCATATTAAGTTGACACTATCCATCATGGTAAGTATGCAAGTCATTTGATTTTTGAAGAAGTCTCTTATCAAGGAGAACCAAGTATTATCCAGGTACAAAAACCAAGTATTAAACACTAAGTATTATACAGGTTGACTGAAGATAAAAATGGAATCCACAGTAAAGGAAATAGGAGATCTAATTCTAATAGGAGAAGTAATTGTAGATATTTTGGCAGCTACCAAAGCATCATGTACAATATTAAAGGATTACCATGGAGCTGTTGGCAAATCGAAGTAAAGTGAATAACAAAATAATGAAAATAGCTCAATTGGGATACAAAAAATTAATTCTTTCTGGCCTTTATTGAACGCTATAACATCCAGTAGCTATTTTCACTTTGCCTATATTTCTTGGTTTTAATTATTTTGCCTTTTCTAGCCTATTTACTCTGTTTCTTAAAAGTTTCTGGGGTACTAGGGTATTTTGTTTCACTTATTTTATTCCCCTCCCTCAAAAGAAAGCCAGAACTACAGCTAGAGAAAAGTTGGTAACTAATTATTGCCTTTAGACTAAAGAAGGATGACAGTTCTCAGGAAAATAAAAATAAAAATAATGTCTTATCACCTCGTACTCAGGGCTCAGAGATGCTGGAATTCTCTTTGCTGGATGAGGGACCACAACATTAAAAACCAAGGAACTAGAGCCCTTTCTCTGTCCTTTTCTCCTTTCCTTCCTTCAACACAGTTTTTACTGAGCACCTGTGCCAGACACCAAGCATATAAAAACAACCAAGGTTTACAGCCCCTGTCCTCAAGGATCTGATATTCGAGTGAAGACAGACAGATCATCAGGTAGAATATGGTGTAATCTGGGGGTACTTTGGAAATACAGAGGATGGACACTTAAGTCAGTCTCGAAGAGTCATAGAAGGCCTCCTGTGAAGGAGGTGAGGTGGGCATGGTAGAAGTGAGCATTTGTGAGTAGCCAGGCAGAGAAGCCTATTAAGCTTTAGATATAAAGGTTAAGATCTTTACAAATTTAAGTTTTGGTTTGCACAGTCTTTTGCCTCTAAGTGGCTCAAAACAGTCCCTCTGTGAAGTACAACTACTGAGGAGCAGAGTTCACATCATCGTTCTCTCCAGACATGCAGCCTTGACATATAGCCCATCATAAATTATCCGTGATCCAAACGCCATTTTCCCTCATATATTTCTCCATAATTCTGCTCGAACATGGTCTGGCATTTTTGGCTTACTCTCACACATAAACACTGAGAGAGATTTTTGTCAGTTAAGGAGTAAAAGGCAAGATAGCCACTAAATGAATGCTGTGAAGCATGTCTCCTCATTGCACACAATTTAGTACAGAACAGTTACCAATTCTCCTTTGGAAAATGACAGAATCCCATTTCATTCATGCTATGTTTCTCATGTAAATTATCACACTTCACTATAAAAAGAGGAAGAAACCATTACTTTATATACGTATTTTTAAATCCACTTAAAGAAAACAGCAAAACTTTGAACTTCCAAAACTTTCAGCTATGGTCTCAGAGTACAGTATTTTCATTCTTCTCTTAATAACTATGAGTTAAAATTCATTTCTTACATTTACTAATATTATCCTTGATAATTGATTAAAAATAAAGTGATTACAGTAGCAGTCACATTGACTTTTAAAGAGCACGTAGACTACTGCATATATATACTTTTAAAACATGCTAACAAGAAATTAAAAGTTTTTAAAGAGGTCTGTTTTACACATTAAAAAAATCCCTATCTTCTTTCTACTTAATGATTTCTGCTGAAAAATTGTCTATCATGCTGCCAGAAAAGAGCACAAAAGATTTCTGACTGAGCTTTGTTCACAATGGATGCGGTGGGAGGTGACAGGGACCAAAAGAGCCAAGGACACAGAAGAGGCAGAACATCAGTTTTGAAGTTAGAAGAGTCTAATTCAAGTCCTCAGTTCTTCCTGTTCTAAGGCTCTTTCCTCGTGTAGACAATAGGAATAATAATCATGGTCTGCTAAAATGTTCTAAGGTCTGAGTCTTTTGAAGAATGTAAAACATCACAAAATACAGTAATCTAGTGTAATTATTAGTAGTGATGTAAAACTGTTTTCCTAGAAACATGTGGGCAATGACTTATGAAATTGCCCTAGGAAATCTGTTGGGTGAGTTGTACACTGGAATGGAAAAGTCTGTAGGGATAGGATTGGAGTAACTGAGACTGCCAATTAGTGAAAAATCACAGGTAATCTAATGATCCCACCAATTCATTCATTTACAAGATGATGGAGGATCCCACTTGCAATGACTTAATTTTTAATACACCTCCAGAAGGACTCTCTGTCCAATAAATGCCTTGGATATATAATATAGAGAGGATGAAATGATTATTTCATATCGTTCTTTGCTATATTTTTCACGTTAATGAAAAAAATTTACTTGAAAATTACAAGTTTATTTGCCTCTAAGAAAGAAAAATGATGAAATTTTATTCGTAGAATTACTCCTTGGATTTACTCAAATATATCATAAGGTTAATTGCTATGTGTAACATACAAACAAACGAAAAGGCAAATAGTGCATCTGTAAGCCCTACACAACATTAACAAGCCATTATGAAACTGTATTTTTATCTTAAAAAACCCTTACAAAAATAACCTTTCTATTTTTGTTTTATAGCCCTTAAGAACAGACATATATAAGACATTTAGAAATTCTCTAAAAGTGACTTAGAGAATAGTCACATGACCACGGTGAGAAGACAACAGGGATTGGGGTCCTATTAGTTATGTACATAACATACTTCTAGAAGGGACTGGAAGGATGCTGAGGACACTCTCCTCTAGCGCAGGGAGTAAGTGTCTATGCAGAGGCAAGGAATGGTGACTTCCACATTTTGCTTTGAATGTTCATGTTTTATTTGAATCTTTGAAATAAATACTACTTGTGTTAAAAAATAATACAGAGAGGTGAACCACAGTGGGAGACATCATCAGTACTGCTCCCTGACAGTGACTGGACTTCTGCAGTGGCTATAGATGCTATCTTCCAAATATACATCAATCAAAATACAAATACTAGTGAATGTTTTCAGAAGTATAGCTTAATTCAATTATGTTTGGAATGTATCACCCACGTTTTGATAGAGGATACAACATGCATGCTTGAGTTGAAGCTCTCTGAAATGGCACAATGTGGTGCTTTGGGGTGGTCACTCCTGGTAGATTTATGTGATCAGGGCAGGTGTGATTTAGCTTATTGAGCTGCTTCACTGCACTAGAAATGCTGCTCACTTTTTCAGGCCTTGTGAAAAAAAAAACACCTGCAAGTTGTGTCTGAAAAACCCCAAGAAGATAAAAGCATTCAACTGTTACTTTCTAAGTCAAGGCCAATGTGCTTTAAAAAGTTGGCTGATCATCTACCCTCTAATTACCTTATGACGCCTAAGCCACGACAGAAGGCCTGTCAACAGATTGTATTTGCAACCCTTGAGGAAAAATCCTCTTGCTGTTTTCACTTCATACAGAAGATAAGTCTGCAGAAGGAAATAATTGGCAGTACTTCAGATGCTCACTGTCTGGTGGTGTTGATAATGCAATTCTTTTTCCTGATTATGGCACCTTCTATAATGCTATATCATTCATGTCGACCACCATGCCCCAAATGATGATATTTGTTGACTGAACAGACATAATTCATGCAATCATCTGAACTGTTTAAACTTTTCTTTTACTATAAGCTTAGAATCTGGCCATGGACTGATTTCTAGGCTGAATTCTATTGCTGAAGGATGTCATGCTCCATTTGGCATACCTACAAAATATCTTTCGTTTAGATAAAAGAAGGTCAGAAGAACATTGATAATTACAGGTAATTCACTAATATTTATTGTATGCTTTAAATGGAACGTCAAAGTATCATGCCAACAACTAACATGCAGTCTAAGATGAGTTTTTGTTTCTTTTTTTACTGATGGAATAAGATTCACATAATCCCCAGTAACCTCCAAATAAAATTCTGTTTGTGTAAGAGTCTATCTAAAAAATCTCCCAAATAAAAATGTATCCAGGGAGATGAAGTATATACTTCTTTTCCCTCTTTCTAGTAGAAGGGAAAAATTGATGTGGCTTGGTATCTTTAAATTGTATTCATGAGCATGTGAACAGCATCCCAGAAATGGTATGGGTTCTTTTGCCACTGAAAAGTCTGTCAAAACTGTACAAAGCAACAGGTGAAAAGTCACCTGTGGAAATATCTATAAAATAAATATGGTGGCTATTGTTTGGACTAACTCTCAAGGGCAAAGCCTTAGTTTTCATAATACAGCTGACAGTATATCCAATATATGGTCTAAAATTACACACTCGGAGACAGGCTACATCTATTGCCTATTCACAATGATAATGAAAGACAGAGATTAAAGAGAACATAAATAAAATAAAAATGCGTTTACTCACTGTGTTAAAATTTGGAAAGAGCCCAACAGCAGAACTACCGTCCACTGGAAAAGACATAAATGGTTTGATGTCCAGTGAAGGCTGCATCATCAGGGTAGGCGTGCGCACAAGAGCAGGAAGGGTAGTAGTGTGGCATGTACTGCCTGCCAAGAACAAAACAAAAATGAATTCAGTCTCCTGCTCACATCCATCTCCCTCCCCAACCTACGCTGCAAAAACAAGACTGCTGAGTGGCAACCTGCAGGCAAGAGAGTTAGGCTGGAAGTAAGCAAATGGCACAGGAGGAGAAAGTAGTTAGAAGGGGTTTTCTTGCTCACTGTCTAAGACAGTGATGCAGAATGCTTCCCTGTGGCAAAGGCCGGGAGCTGCTCAGACTCTGCTGAGACACATGGTACACAGATCCTGCTGGCGGGTGGGGCAGAATGAGATCATCCTCTTGTTCAACCATTGCCTCTCACTAGTCAAAAACGGAGGAGAGGGGAGGGGAGGAGCCTCTTGAAGCCAGATGCTCTTTACTATTCACAGTTATTGAAGGGCTAGTAGGAACGTTTTATGCAAATCAGAAATAATCAGAGGGTTTTTACAAGGGGAGGAAACCATGGACTCTTACAGTCACTGTCCGCTCCCAAGAAAATTATGACTCAAACAATTTGGTCTCTAAAATACAAACTAGAAGTTGCTCTTAGTTTGTTTGGACATTGGAGAGTGAGAGAATCTAAAAGGGGTGATTACGGCCTCGATAGGGGCAGGATATGGGGCGACAGGGACAGGGAGGAGTTAGAGTCGAAGTTTTGACTTCAACTTTTATTTCTAAGGAGACTGGTATTGTTTTAGCAGCTATCCTTTTAACAATTTTAACCTGTCTGCAGGAGATTGAAAGCATTCCTCTCTAGTAACAAACATTCTTTACTGGTAGCCTCGATAAGTAACTGCTGGTGAGGTGGCTTTCTGGGAAACAGACTCTGGCATGCCCCTTCTAAAATATATATATAACAGGTATATTGAGATATTATTCACATACCAGACAATTCACCCACTTAGAGCATCCAATTCAATGATTTTTAGCATATTCACGGAGTTGTGCAACCAGAGCCACAATCAATTTTAGAAGATTTTCATGATCCCTAAAAGAAACTCCATACTCATTAGCAGTCACTCCCCATTTCCTCCCAACACCTCCAGCTCTTGGCAACCACAAATCTACTTTCTGTCTCTACAGATCTGTCTACTCTGGACATTTCATTGAAATGAAATCATGCAATATGAGGTCTTTTGGGACTGTCTTTTTTTATTTGGCATAATGTTTTCAAGGTTCATCCATGTTTCAGCATCTATCAGAATTTCATCCCTTCTTAAGGCCGAATAATATTCCATTATAGATGTACCACTTTTGCTTATCTATTCTTCAGTTGATGGGCATTTGGGTTGTTTCCACTTTTTGGCTATTATGAATAATGCTGCTGTGAACATGTGTTTCTAAGTTTCCGTGTGGTGATATGTTTTCAGTTCTCTTAGGTGTATACCTAAGAGTGGAACTGGCGATTGTTGGGTCATATAGTAGTCGTATGCCTCAACCTTTTGAGAACTTCGAGACTATTTTCCAAAATGGCTGAACCATTTTGTTACCACTCACAGTGTACAAGGGTTCTGATTTCTCCTGGCATGCCTGTATAAGACCACAAATAATTATATGGCTAAAATCCCCCTGCTGGCTTTAGGAGAAATGAACAGCATGGGAAAATGCTCCAATGTTCTTTCACAGTGTCCTGGAATAATTACAATTTTTATTTCAATGATACATTTTTTTTTTAGTAATGAATTTCCTTAAAAAACTCTGCATCATATTCCAGAACATTATTGGCAACCGTATTGAATGGACTGTCATACCTCATTTACATTGATCCTAAAAACAGAAAAAAAGTGAAGGGCATCTGAAGCATTTATCCGTAATGACAAGTCCTGAGGTCAGCCCATCCATTAGGGAATATGGAGTAGGGCTCAGTAAAAAGTGAATCAACCAAAGGTATAGGTCAAACAGTAATTTTTTTTTCTGATGCCAAAGTAAATACTCTGATCTCAGCCTAGCATACACATAACCACCCTGCATTTAATTACACATTATTCTTCTAATGAGGTAACATTACATTTATTGCTAACTTCAGAGCTTGCAGATCCAAGATGATGTATTATATCAATATGTCAAATGTTGCAGGGGCATTTACTATTTATGTTAGAAACTTTGCTTTAAAATCTTTGCTAAATTGAAAAACAGATATTTCTTACATTAGACCAACGGCCTTTTACTATTTAAAATTATGATAATTGTTAAAGGTCTAAAGCTAAAAAGTATACAGAATTATTCTACTTAAAGCTGCTTGTTAAAAAAGAAACAAAAGGACTAAAATGGAGTTACTTGTGCTAATATCTAACCTAACTACAGTTACCATCTCCCCCAGCAATGTAATCCTAACCGGTCAGTGTCGAATGTTCTGGTCAGCACCAATGAGGCGGTTGGTCACATGGGCTCTCTCAGTCCCCCAAACGAAGAAGAAGTAGTCTGCCACAGAGACTCCTTCTGTCCCCTACGGGTAGGTTACCTAAGCCTGAAATAATCCTTTTTGTTTATGACTTTCTTGTATTGCCTTTAAAAATTCTCCCTTTCTGTAGAGCTTCCCTTGTGAGCTCCCCTCTACTCACTAGATGGGATGCTGCCTGATTCATGAATTGTTCAATAAAGCCAATTAGATCTTTAAAATTTACTCAGTTGAATTTTGTTTTTTAACATGCCTGATGAACAAATGTATAATTATTTTGCCATCGTAGGTCTCCCAAAGTGAAGCACAATTCTTTCTCTAAGCCCACAATGGTGGCTTTGATAGCACAGTAGCACATGGCCCCTGAGAGCCTGGAAAGAGTCACTTTGTACTAACAAAACTCGAATCAAACAGAATGCAGCATGGAACCTGACAAACAGATTGCTCCATCAACAAAGGTCAGAATGCACAATGATCCCCCTCACCCAATCAAATCTCTATGCTAATAAAGACAAGGCTTGGGAACTACTTAGCTGCCACCATTCATTAGCATAAAAAACTTAGCAGCTGTTTACCATTTCATTAGCATTTTAATGACAGACAATTTGCCATGTTAAACACAGATTGTTTTAAAGTACTAGTAGATCTTCTGAATAAATATAAACTATGCTTTCATCAATTCCCTCACCTCAACCTTGCTGTTTTCGCTTTTAAAATCTGCTTTTTAATATTGCGTCTCTGAAACCGATTGCTTCAAAGGGCATTCTTGCAAGTGGCAAATGAGTGGGAATAAACTGCATTTTTTGCACAGGTTACTTTGGGCTTTGATCCCCCTGTCACCTTATTCAGATTTGGCTGCTGCTCCTGGGAAACATTTCTCTTCACCTCGGGATGCCTGAGAGCCAGTGGGAGATAGAAACAGAAATTTGGCCAAAATGCATTGCAGCCTGCAAGAGGGTGTTTAATTTCTCTAAAGCTCAAGGACTCACTGAGGGAAAAAAAAAGACTGAAAATATAATAAGCAGCTATTTCAACACAAAGGGTGGTATAATGTTCCCATTACATTGCTATCCTCATGGGACAGAGCCAACCTTTGTCTTTTGTACTATTTGGCAATATTACATAAGATATCTCCTACATGTATTTCTGCTTCAAAGCATAGGATATAATCTTGAATATGTCGTAATAAATCAAGTCATAATAGGGCTCCACCTTGCTTGGAAATAAGGCTTTTTATATCACTTGATGTGTATATATTTATTAAACTCCCTGTACTAAAATTAAACACACTTGAACAAATACGCATGCTCCAAAGATCTAACAGTCATCACTCTCACCGTGGAAATACCACGTGTCCATGTCCCATAAGAATGCAATTAACAGTTTATATGTGGAGAAGCCAGGATTCAAACCTAGGCAATTTCACTTCTGAATTCTGCTTTTTACTACTATGCTATGGTAACCACATTGGATACCTGAAAACACCTCAGTTATGTAGACACATTCTCTAGCTGTAGATAGAAACATTTTACCATCAAACTAAGAGACTTAAAATGTTGGATCTCCTTTGCATCTGGGAATTACTTGAAACTTTCATTTGAGCTTAATGAAGCAGTAATACTGAAATAAGATTTTTCAATGCTCTATAAGAATGTATTTATCTAAAAATAACCTTCCTATATAATAGTATTATTTAATTCAGTAAATACTTATGGGGGACCAGTTGTACAAGGCACAGTGCTGACAGTCACATGGATTATAAATTGAATCAGACAGAATTTATTTTACTTACTAAGAGAAGATAAGAAAATAATAACAACTACCATTTAAGGAGAGTCTGTTCTATGCCATGTACTGTGCTAAGTGATTTGTGTCCTTTATTTTATTAAATTATAATACAACTCTGTGAAGTTTGTATTATTATCTCCATTGTACAGTAAAGGTAAGCCTTAGAGAGATTAAGATCATTTAGTATACGGTAGGGCCTGGGTCCAAACTCCCGTTTATTTGACTCTAAAGCCCATGCCATCATTCTAAAAAGTAGGCTATTTGTAAAGCTGTTATGTGAAAAGGATTCTGTCATCAAATACATATCGAAAATGCTGACTTCAACAAACTTTAAAATGATTCTTTTCTGCAAAACATCTTGGAGCTTTTAATATACTAATGGGAACTGTGAATGTCTAGGCAGATATAATTTCTACTCTCAATTTGAGAAGGTATCATTCCTTTTTCTTTTCACTCTGGGATAAACATGATGCTACAGGCAATGCTGTTCTATACACATTAAAAGCCCCAATTCAGGAGGAAAATGATGACTTCCAGGTCCACTACTTTCTTCTTATATGGTCGCAGACAAGTGATTTTACTTTTTTATACGTCTACTTTCTTTCTATAAACTGGGGAAAATAAGAGTATCTGCATTATAGGACTTGAGATTTTTCTGTACAAGGACTCTGTGCCTGACACATAGCACGTGTTCATTAAGCGTCAGTTACTGCAGTTATGAACTATTCCTACCCCTCTGACACTATGCCATATCCCTGGAGAGCATAAATAGCTAAATCCATCAGTATGTCTAAAAGGCAGGATATGTCAGTGGTCATATA